TGCTCCCTAATATTATTTAGGAACACTCCGAATGTTTAATAGTAAAGATGAATTCCGGAATATTAGGAAAAGTCGGACCGATTCCAATAATATTTCCGCCAGGAATTTGTAGCTCTTAGGGTGCGGTTTTTTTTCAGACTGCTGATTTGTTGGGAGGCTCCTCTATTTATTTTTACGAGAATTGGGAAATTGATTGGAGGGGGAGAGGTGGCGTGAATGCCACCTCTTCGATTTTGAGTTTATTGACCTGGCTCTACTTGCTAGGGAAAAATTGTAAGTCGCTAAATTTTGGTTGCAATGGCCTCTGTGGAATGCAGCGTTGCACATTCCCCTGAGGTCATTGGCGGTTTTTTGTGTGTTGACCAACTTCCGTCGCAGTGGTTTATTGACTCGGCCCGTTGATTTAATATTTAATTTATTTTTGATAATTGTACCTGTTTTGAAATAATCTGGACATTACATTAGATTCTACCATATTTTTATAACCATACCCTTATTTGTTCAATTGTTCATTACCACGAGAACTTGAGAGTATGCTCGAGTATCTGTATATGCTGAGTATACTTGAGAGTATGCTCGAGAACTTGGAACTGGGAAAAAAGAGTGGTCCAATTTTCATTACGACTAATATTTTGGCACATATTTATAAATCATTAATAAGTCATAAGGGGTTACTTAAAAAATTGAGGAATTTCTCCTTCACATCTTTGCAGCGGACACTGGGTCACAAGGTAGGTTGAAATATCGAATAAATGGTGAACTCTTCAGTTGAGTTGACCGTAACTAGTCACGACAGGCACTGTCCGGAGGAGAAAGGATCTTATAAATCTTACTTAGGGGGCCTATTGCGTGGGACTAAGTACTGAAGTACACAATGGTTACAATATGAGGAATTAGCACACAAAGCGAGAGATACCCTTAGGTTTCCCTTTAAATAGAAGTTAAATTTATTACACTTCACTTAAGATACAGAGTAGTAAAAGTCCAAGATAAAAACCAGGAGTAGATAGGGAAAAAGTGAAGGAGAGAATAGTGTAAATGTTGTTGGTGTGTTTTTCTGACTTACAGTTGTAGAAACAAATGGCAGCAGGGAAGGGGTGATCTCCCTTGAATACTGGATCTGGAAAGTTGAACTGGATGACGAAGGGTACCACTTGAAGATTTCGAGCCGAAGATTTAATTTCGACCGACTTTATTTGGCGAAAAACCGCACTTTATATATTGTTCGGGCGGGATTCCCCTACAGATTTGGCATTTTGAGATTTCGTCATAAAACGTTTTTTGAGGTATGGTGGGGGCATCTTCATATCTTTAACAATGTATTCAAAAGTGATGTTGCTGGGCAATGTACCCTCACCCTGATGTTACCCCCCATTTCTCCAAGTGCGGGAGAAGTTTTTGAGAAAGAGACGGGGGGAACGCGCATTGGCCTCTCTCTAATTAATGTTATTCTAATGTCAAAAGTGGCATGTTTACGCATTTTTCTGATGTTCATGGCCCATAAATTTGACGCCTCCTTTGACGATGGATATCTATTGTTCATTGGAAGGCTCGCGTGTCAAATGGAGTGGACCCTGTGAGACTGAAGATGTCCCCATGTTCGGACAACAAGAAATCATCTGGTGAATTGTGCCAATTCCTGGAAATTAGCTCATAACTTGCATTGGGTATGGGGTGCAGCTGACGTCATGGGCCCGGCCAATTCGATGTGAGCAATGGGGGGGGAGTCACTCGGGGGAGATGTACCCCCCTACTGGCCTGCCTTTTCTTTTGTCGATATCGGCGAACCCGTGGTTGAGGTGGTCCATCTCTAAATTGCCGACATTTTTAATTCTTCGGAGAGCTCCCATCTGCGGTTACCATTGAAGGGTTGTTCAAGTTATTGGCCCTCACATTCAATAGAGGGAAGAAAAGAAGTTAAAAGAATCTCTTTAGTTGTGTCTTTGACCAATTATGTGGCTTCTTTCTAGATGATTTGTGGTTTCCAGGTGTTGTCGCCTTGATGGTCACGTCTTAATGCCTCTCCGGCCATAATAACGGCCACTTGAATACCTGCTAAGTGATCTCTTTTATTGTGGTCACTTCGCATAATCGGCATTTAGGCTGGACGTACTAACATTCCTTGCTATTGTGTTGGGTTTCCCCAACCCCCTTTTTTTGTAGTTACACCAAGTTTTCCGGATATACAAAAATGTTATCCGTAGTAATTGCGGCGTCCGCAACACCTCCGGAAGTGAAGAGTCTGCAAGGTCCTCCTTGCAACCCCGAGGATCCAAGTGTGACCGGTTATTTGGAGGTTTTGCACGAAATTTACCAAAGGGGAAGCTGTGTCTATTCAGTTGTGTGCGCTTGTGGGAGGAATCTTGATATCTTGGATAATTTGTTACAAAAGTTCATTCGATTACATCGATCTTATACATAGATTATTCTTTTGTTCCAAGTACATCTGTTCTATAAATAAAGTATCTTTTGTTTTAAGTACATCGTTTTTATAAGTATATTACTTTTTGCTACAAATTCGTTGATTTTCCCGAACACTCTGAGATTTGTCATCCAATTAGACTGTAACTAACCATGGTGATATCGTCAGCTTTCGCCAAGAACACGTCATGATTATATGATGCAAAGGCATATGAATATTGGCTATATATTGTAACATGTTGTTTGATTTCGACCGTTCGACGGTTATTTAGATATCCAGACGAGGAGTCACCGTGAAGAAGAGTCGAAACTATGATGTTTTGGTATTTTATTAATTTCATTTTTTTTAATTATTGTATCGAGTCATTGTCATCGCTTACCGATGAACAATTGCATCGCGGGACTTCAGAAGATAACGAGGCAACGATTTATGTTAATGAGGGACTATATCCATGGATTTTTGGTGGTTCCAACAACTTTTAAAAAAAAAGAAGGAAAATGTAATTTGAAGGATGTCCTGTTTGTGCACTGAGTCTTGGTGACTAGTAAGGACGATAGATGGCACCATCGGATGGACCAAAGATTTGGAGGAATTCGCTTTGGAGTTCTGGGAAATTCCGAACGAAACAATTGTTAATGGGTTTGACGAATGCAATGAATCAATTCAGGCAATGCGTGTTTGTTATTGCTGAATGAATATTGGAAATAATGAAATATGCTGTTTTACCGATACCCGAGTAAAATATTATTTGGGAGCTAAAATATTAATAAGTGTCACCAGACTTTGATAGAGGGCCAATCAATAAATCGATTATCGCCCATTGTTAGCCAATCTAATGTTTGGTAACGTTATCTTAGACGACGCTCGATTTGGCGTCGTTCTATCGAATCACTCATTGTTAGGACATCACTTAAGGCAGTCATATTATTTGTGAGTCTAGTTCGTTATATCGCGGAGGGAAGAAGGATTGATTTTGGAGAGGTCCGACTGGTGTTTCGAGGACGGTTTCATTTATTGTAAAAATCCAGCGGCCGGATAAATCGGTTGGACATCGGTAAGCGGTTGAACACTTCCGAAAAGTATTTTTGGTTAATTTCTTAATTGTTTAAGGTTTTTGATTTTATTAAGACGCTTGGCGTCCATTGTCTCACGGTGAATTCTCCAGAGGGTTTTGTCAGTGCTGGGGAAAGTTGTTTATAATTCTCTAGTGATATATTCCGACAATTTTGGTGTTATCGATTCTTGTTCAAATTATAAGGCTGTTTTATTTAGATATTTTTTGAATTTAACGAAAATTGGAATTATAGCATCATTAGCGATGCTTGAGTAATGTGTTTTTAATTGAGAGGTGACTTACAAGGTCAACGGATTTTACAGGAATTTAGTAACTCAAAGTAATTCCAGTTTATTGTGTTTTCATTTTGGGAAGTATTACCACTTGTTTGTATTAAACTTGGGAAAATTGATTGAATTCCTTTATCTCAGATTTTGTTTTAATTATGTTATTGACTTCATCATCTCTTTAAAATAATATTGTATATTTGATTCACGAATTGGATATGGTGATTTAATTTATTTATATTTTTTTTTTACATTGAATAATTTTTATAATTCGTGACAAATATTTAATCTTGCGTCTTGACGTTGTTTTATTAGTTTGATGTTTAGGGATTAGTGATTAGGGATTTGCAATTATATCGAGTCCTTCGACTTGAAAATCTGTAGATTAAAAATTATAGAAAAATTTATCAAAAATTATTAATTGGTTTATCGAGCCTGGCCCCGGACCGCTCATAAAGTGACGAAGGGGACGGTTGAGTGCCAACCAGGTGCATCCTTAGGTGGCGGATAGAGGGACGGCGAGGGAAAGGGAGGTGCTGGAAGACCAGGGTCGGATACCGAGAGGTATTAAAGCCTGGATCTCGCTGGTCCTCGTCGGAACCTGGCCAGCGGTTGTTATAGGATCAAACTTTGGGGTTAACCCCCTGATAGGGCGCTCCAAAACACTGTCGCAGGCCAACTCCCCAAGCCAAGGTGGGAGTTATCGTGCTGATGGCTGGACGACACTGGGGAATAGTGTCGTGAACGTTACCCTTGAGGCACCAGGCAGCACCTCACTGTATTCATGCCTTACCCCAGTATCCGGGCTCTGCTGGGGCGGACCTTTATTTCCCAGGCTACTCGTGGGATCAATATGGAGATTCCCCCATTGAAAGTATATATTTTTAACGCCGAAGGCGGTGCCCCGTTAGAGGGGACGCCGGAGGCCTCCAGAGTGTTGGCGGTAGTAGTCCCTGCGGACCCGACAGGGGCTGAGGGGACAGCGGTAGTTGCAGCAGAACGGTCGGAGGGGGGAACTACCTCGGTACGAATCACCAAGGAGCAGCCTGCTGCGGAAAAAAAGCGCAAGGGGCGTACGGGTGCAGAGTAGCGCCGGGCTCGTAAGGCTAGGCTGGAGGCCGAAGCTTTGCGGGAACAGCACTCCTCGCAAAATTTGACGCAGAACCTAGCGGGGGCGGACTAGAGGAGCTGATCCGAGAGACCTAGGTCATAGGATACCACACCCCCAGAGATCGCTATGCCGAAGAAAAGGGCAAAGGAGAAGGTAAACCTAGGGACAACCTCCTTCAAGGAAGCGGCGAAGGGCGGCGGAAGGGTGGCCATAGTGTCATCCGGCCATCCGGAGCCATCCTTGACGGAGGACCAGGCGGACCTCATAAAGAACGCACTGGTGGACAAGATGTTCGGGCGTGACGAGAAGGGCCAGTACCCGAACTTCCAGGGACACCGATTCGAGCAAGGGCTTCTGTGGGTCAGATGCACTGATGCCCAGTCGAAGGAGTGGCTCATGCGCGTGGCGAGCGCACTAGCACCCTGGGAAGGGACCTCCCTTGCCCTTATGGACAAGGATGAGCTCCCCAGGCTGTCCAGGGTGACGGCTTTTCTCCCGGAGAAACCGGCGGGAGGGGCTGCTGCACTGGATAGGCTGGCTGAGCGGAACCAGGGCATCTCCACTAGAAAGTGGAGAATCTGGGACTGCAACGAAGGGAAAGGAGGCGTCAACCTGGTTGCAGGAGTGGACTCCAAGTCCCCGGAAAGGCTCAGGGAGTTAAAGATGGCTCTCTTCCTGGGGAGACCTGACCCAGACCTGGGCCAGGTAACGGTCGCCTCGAGCAGCGTGGGAGGGGCACCTGCAGACTCAGCAGGGGCTCCGGCGGCTGACGAGGCGGAGATCCCCAAGGGCATAGTGGGGGACGGTTGCGGGAGTGCTGCCGACAGCGGGCCTCGTTCGAAGGTCCCCCATCCACCCGAGGATGAGGTGACGCCCTAGAAGGAGCAGGAGCGGACGTGGACTGAGCAGGGCCGACACGTCAGTGTCAGGGGGAAGGTCTCAAAGGACTCTCACCTGGGCTCGGGCGGGCCTCTCTGGTCAGGGCCAGAAAAGAGCCGACGTGAAGGGAGCGGTCGGAGGGGAACTTTACATAAGGGGGCTTCGATGGCCGGGAAGCGCAAAGGCGCCGGTGTGGAGGACGATGGGCGGCGAGGCGGTTTAACCTCACCGCTAGTCCGATGTTCACAGATCAACTTGCATCACTGTAAGGCTGCGACTGACCTGCTGAGTCGCAGCCTTGTAGTTGAGCAGGCAGATATATGCCTAATACAAGAGCCCTGGTGCTATGAGGGCTCTATAAGAGGATTTGATCTAGGTAAGGAAGAGCTGTTCTTTTCTCGGGATAACTCGGGACCCAGAGCCTGCATTGCTCTCAGAAAAGCGTGCAGACACCGGGGGATGGCAAACTTCTGTCACAGGGATCTGGTGGCGGTCATAGTGTGACTACATGGAGAGGGACCGATTGAGGATATCGTTGTCTGTTCGGCGTATCTCCCGTATGACTCCGCAGAACTGCCATCCACCAAAGAGCTGCAGGAACTTGTCAGATACTGCAGGCCTAGAAAGCGAGTAACAAGAACAACAACAGGGGGACAGCTCTGTTGGAATACCTGGCAGACGCGGATCTTGAGATCCTAAACAGGGGATCCAGCCCCAGGTTTGTCACAGCGAGGGGCCAGTGCGTCATCGACATCACACTGTGCGATGGCAGACTGGCGCACAGGTGCGGCAATTGGAGAGTGGACAATGAGGACTCAATCTCTGATCACCGACGCATCAGGTTTGATATCAGAGGCGCTGCTGGGACGGAGCAGGGACTCATGCGAAGGAATCCCAAGGCCACCGACTGGAGCTCTTTTAGCAGGGAACTGGAGGAAAGGCTGGAGGGAGGACGTGTGAGGCCCAGCAACCCGGACAGATTAGAGGACGAGGTGGAGTGAGTCCACAGGGCCCTAACCGAGTCCTTCCCGATAGCTTGTCCGATCAAATCGTGCAGAGACGGAAGAAAGGTTAATTGGTGGAACCGGGAGCTCGGGAGGCTGCGAAGCCTGACTCGGCGGCTTTGGAACCGAGCATTCCGCACCAAAGACGATGAGGATTGGAGTCTGTACAGGAAGGTACAAAAGGAGTATAAGAACCTCATCAAAAAATCGAAGGAGTCCGCATGGAGGATCTTCTGCGAGGAACTGGATACGCTGCCACAGCTGGCCAGTCTCCGCAGGGTCTTCTCCGGCGGACCCACCCAAGGTCTGGATGGAATTACGCTTCCCAATGGTGTAGCTATCACCCAGCCAGACGAAATCCTGGAACACCTAATCCAGGTGCACTTCCCCAACTCGGTTATACACAGAGAGGGAATGTGCTCTGATTTGGATCGAACACGACCTGGAGGGGGCGGTTCGGATTGGAACCTGGCCTCGAAAATTGTGACGTTTGACAGACTGCGGTGGGCGCTGGACTCCTTCGAGATGTACAAGAGTCCGGGTCCCGACGGGGTATATCCGGCATTCTTGCAGAGAGGGGGCGCCCGGCTCCTGCACAGGCCGCTACCAACGCTAAGGGTATGCCTTGCGCTAGGATATGTCCCAAGAAGATGGTGGGAGGTCAGAGTTGCATTTATTCCCAAACCGGGTAAATGCAGCTATGACAACGGCAAAGCCTACCGGCCTATTAGCCTAAGCTTTTTCCTACTGCAGACGCTGGAAAGGCTCGTCGATAGGCACATTAAGGAGGGAGCACTGAATATCAATCCCATCAGCCCCTCCCAGCATGCATATCACGCGGGCACATCAACCGATACTCTATTGCACAGCCTGGTTGGAACAATTGAAAGAGCGAAGGAAAGGAAAGAGGATACCCTTGGTGTCTTTATTGACATAGAGGGGCTGTTTGACAACACTTCGTTTGGGATCATGGAGAAGGCGGCCGCGTCCTTTGGGATTGAGGCGCCCATCATCAGCTGGATCGCTGCCATGCTCCGAACCAGGTTGGTCTACTCCTCTCTCCGGAACAGTACGGTCAGGGCGCTGGCGGAGAGGGGCTGTCCGCAGGGGGGTGTTATCTCGCCCCTGTTGTGGCTCCTCGTCGTAAATGAGCTCCTCACTGGGCTCGAGGGACTGGGGGTGGAGACTATTCGATACGCAGACGATGTAGCTTTGCTAATAACGGCTTCAGGGTTAATCCAACAAGACGGAGATGGTGCTCTTCACCAATAGGAGGAGGTGTGTCGTAAGAACCCCCTCTATTTATGACCCAGTGCTTAACTTTTCTGAGGAGGTAAAGTACCTAGGTGTTTGGCTCGACAGAAAGCTCAGCTGGAGGAAGCACATCACCATGCAGACCAATCAGGTCATTATGACTTATTGGACATGCAGGAGAATATTTGGAAACACGTGAGGACTACGGCCAAGGGTCGTGAAGTGGATCTACACAGCCATAATGGTCCCGCAGCTAACGTACGCAGCCGTCGTCTGGTGGACGGCTACGAACAAACCCTGTCACAGGAGGTTGGTTGACAGGACAGGCAGACGTGCTATGCTGGGAATGATGGGGGCACTTAGAACGACCCCCACTTCTGCACTGCAGGCTCTGCTCTTTCTTCAGCCGCCACACCTCAATATAAAGGAGGCTGCACTAACCTCAGTAGATATGTAATGCGGGTTCTGGATCAACGATTTTGGAGTCATAAGGGCGTATGTCGGCTAGTGGGGGGGTCATGTGAAAGTGGGTGGGTGGGTGGTGTTTTAATTCGCGGTTCGATTAATTAATTAATCGATTGATTCATTTCGTTGATTGACAGGTAAAAATCTATTGTTTACCTGGTGAATGGGTGTAGTGTAGGGTGGGTGGGGGTGGGTGATTTAGTGAAAGGGTTAATTAATTGAGTGGGGGTGAACAAATAGGTGGTGGAATGGCGGTTGAATCGGCAGATTGGTGTTTTTAATTCGCGGTTTTAATTCGCTCCCTCAAACAGCGTGTTGGGACCTGCATGGGCCACCTGACCCCACTTGAGAATTACCCCCCCTCCCCCGCCCCCAAAAGGCGTGTTGGGACTTGCATTGGTGAAGGGGGGAGGGGGCCACCTGACCCCACTTGAGACTTCAAACATGCCGCGTCCAATGATATTAACCACATGGCTCGGAATCAAAATAATCCAGATTCACTTGTTTGTTTACATCACTCCAACTGTCGGTTTGATATGTGGTTTTCAAAACATGCTAGGATTTGTAAACACTTGACGTTTTTCCCAAGTGCGGCGGAATCAGATTTCAAACATGCCGCTTCCCATGATTTTAACCACATATGCTGGACCACTTGACCCCACTTGACATTTACCCCCCTCCCATAGCCGCCAAAAAGCATGTCGGGGCCTGCATGGGTCACCTGACCCCACTTGAGACTTCAAACATGCCGCTTCCAATGATATTAACCACATGGCTCGTGGGAATTGAAATAATCCAGACTATTTTTAGCTCAACCATGTTAGAAGTTGTATGTTCATAATATATATCACGTTATCTTTATTATCCTTACTAATACTATTCCTCCGGCTGATCATGATAAATAATAACATATACGTATTATTGCTATGATCAGTTATCAGCGATAGAGTGGGGGTTGCGTGTATATAATCCTCGAAAATTTGATCATCATCATCATTTAATCAAGCGTTCTCAGTGAATAACTAAAAGTATAGGAAAGTTTGAAGTTGCTTCTAAGCTGTATCCCTAGAAGTAAAAAAGTAAGGAGTTACGTCATCGTTCTTCATTCTCGACCTGATTAAGGAGAAAACATCATGGATTTTATCAAGAACAACGCTGTGGGAGAACTGAAAAATCTTCCCCTGGTGAAGCTCTCGGACCTGAATCCCAACTCTTTCTATAAAATCACAGCGGCTCGTAAAGTGAACACAAAATATGGAGAGAGTGTTATTGTCCATTTATCAAATACTCAGGCCGTTTTGGTTAATAAAAAGTTAGCTAAATTCTTCGCTAAAAATGACGAAGTGTTCGAGAATTTCCAAAAATATATTGCCAAGGGGTCACCAACATTGCAATATTTGGGCGGAAAATATAACAATATAGGCTTTCATCCTGATCCAGAGTTGAAGTTTGAAGATCAACTGAATTTCGAGGTAATCAACGCTAGCGCAGAGATACAAGAGCTACCCGTCATCAAGTTATTTCAACTGCAGGACAATTTCTTGTACACCATTACGGCAGCTTTCAAGGCTGAGACAAAATGGGGTGCGGCACCTGTTTTGCATCTGTCAAACATTCACTCCATTTTCATGAATAATCGAGTGACCAAGTTCTTCGAAGATTATCCAAAAAAGTTTGAAAATTTTTGCAAACATATTGAAAAGGGCTGTCCGACTTTCTGGTATACTGAGGATGGATCCAGTGGCCATGTTCAACCAGACCTCGATATTGCAGATGAAGATGATCGAGCTCTTTTCGATGAAATCAACGAAAAGATGAAACAACTCCCACTCGCCAAATTGTCTGAACTAGTAGTGAACCATCAATACGCCATAACTGCAGCTTGGAAAATCAAGACGAGACATGGAATAAATGTGATATGCCATTTGGATGATAGCGCTGCAATTTTCTTGCCTGGGCGACTGTCCAAGTTTTTTATGCAAAACCCTAAGCACTTTGAAGACTTGCAAAATCAAATAAAAAAAAGTTCGCCAAAGTTGGAGTATTTGGGAGGCGAGTACAACAATATTCATCTTCATGAAGACTAAGCATTTGGAGAGAAGAAAATGAAAATAATTTATTTAATAATTAATAAACTATGTTTATTGAAAAAAATAAGTGACCATCAACTTTTATACATTAATATACAAGCAAAAAAAGTAATAAAGTAATAAAGTGAATAAAGTTTAGTAACTTAATCTATCAATATTATTATTATTATTATTATTATTATAACGA